CCACAAGCAAGGCTGTCGCATAGTGCTTGGCTTCCCTGAAGACACGTGTCCGTGGACAGTGACAGTACCTGTGGCCACAAGCACTGGGTCTCGAGCCACGGGCTGCTAACCAGGATCAGGATCCCATTTAAACCCAGTGAGCTCCTGCTGCCCTTACCCCAGAGAAGCTCTGGGAGTAGATATGTTGCAGGGAAAAGGCTTGCTCACCGCTGGAGTTGAAATGCTAGTGAGGTCAAGACAGATGGGCTTCTATCATGGGGTAGGAAGAGGAGAGGGCCAAGATGCACCCTCCTCTGGGGACTGGAAGATGCCCCTTTGCTTTTGCAGTGGGAATGGGCTCTGCATTCCCGATCTCCCAGAGTAATGAACAGGTCTAGGTTGGCAGAGGTTAGTCCAAGGTCATAGACTAGGTGGGCAAAGCCAGGTCTCCCTTCTGATTCTCCAAGCCAAGCTGCCACTCTGCGTGGCAGACCCTATAAACCTGGCACTGAGCGCTGCTCCTTCTGGATCTGCCTTCGGGTATGACTTACTTCAGCATACCAGCCAGGGATCCATCCAGCTATCTACTGTCAGCCCTGGTGAGGGGCTATGGCGAGAGATGACACATACCCAGCCAACAAGCTGGGAGCAAGCTCTGCTGGATCCTAGAGCCAAGACCCAGAGCTTCTGCAGTGTTTGTATGATCAGGCCTAACATGCAGGTCCCGGCCTGCATTTCCAGCCTGGTACCTCTGTTTGACTCTGTAGCAATAGTTCTGCAGTGTAGTCCATAGGCAAGGCCCAGTGCCTGCAGTGCCTGGGGCCATTTCTCTGGCATACGTTTGGCCCTATGGTACTAGACAGAGAAGAGGATGATCTGATCTGCAGACTGAAAACTAAGGCATGGAGAGGAGCTGAGCAGCCCAGCATCACAGAGGAGAGGAAGGATTTGCACCAGCCAGGTCCAGGCCTTGACAGTAAGACTAAGCCAAGTGGAGCTAACTCATCCCTCAGCTCCCATAAACTACCAGTGTGGGTCTCCCCACATCTCTCTATCCACCTGCCACACTCACGCACATGTGCTCTTGTACTTGATTTTCACAGGATCACGGACAATGATGGTTGGCAGGGACCTCAGGAGGTCACATCTAGTCCAACCCCCTGCTCCAAGCCAGACCAGCCCCAACTAGAACGTCCCAGCCAAGGCTTTGTCTAGCCAGGTCTTCAAAACCTCCAGGGATGGAGATGCCACTCTCTGGGAAACCTGTTCCAGTGCTTTACTACCCTACTAGTGAGAAAATTTTTCCTAATATCCAACCTAAACTTCCCTTGCTGCAACTTGAAACCACTGCTCCTTGTTCTGTCATCTGTGACCACCAGCTACCATTTTGCAGGGCTGGTATTTGGCCCCTGTAGCAGCATAAGCCCCAGAGGTGGGCAGGCTGTGAGTGAAGTAGCCCCCCAGCTATGTTTAATGTGAGCATGTCTTAATTTGGGCAGCTAAGATGGTGACATCCACAGAGGCTCATCTGGGATTTGAGTGACTCTTAGCATTAGGGACTGAGGACAAAGTTTCCCCTATTGCAGAGGATCCCTGCTTGATCCCTGCTCGACCCCTGCCTCCGTTGCAGTATCTGAACATGGGTGAGAGATGGCACAAAGCAATGATCCACCTGGGACTTGTGCCAGCCCAGAAAGGAATCGGCAAGGGGAAGGAGCTCTGTACTCACTTGGGTAGCGAAAATAAAAGTCATTGTCCAGGTGGCTGTTGTTGCGATGACTCAGTTCCTGGTGCCACTGGCTGGCGCTGGCCTCCCGGTCGTAACGCACGAAGAAAGCAAAGAGGAGGATGGTGAGGATCTCGAGGAGGAAGCATGTCGCTGGCAGCTTCAGCCTTAAGTTAGTGGCGTGGCTGGGCATGCTGCTCCAGGGAGGGAGAGACGAAAGTGAAACCTGGCCAGCAACAGGTGGAGCGTCTGTCCCAGCCCCGAGACAGTGGTTAAGTACAGGCAGCAAGCCCCACCTTCCAGTGGGTGAGTCCCAGGCTGGTTCCCACCCACTGAGACAGGGCATGAGTCCAGGGGATGAGAAACTATTTACTCATGTTTGAATTGCTTCATGTTTTGCAAGGGGCTGTCTGCTGTGGCACGTACAGAGTGCACCTACGCAGCCAGAAGGGTTCACCTCTAGGCCAGGGCCTTGACTCATGGGTATGCATTGTCCTTCCCATGCAACTGCTGTGTTCGAAGCCTGCCAAAAATCCAGCCCATTGCATCCCATCCTAGCTGCCATTCATTCAGCTGCAACCCCTGTCCAATGAGCAAGTTCAGGGAAGTTTTGTGTGCTGGGAGCCACATACCTCCAGGCTGTGCTGGGCCAGTTCTAGATTCGACTGGGTGGACTGGAGCAGGAGCAAAGCAGTCAGACTGGATTGGAGAATGCAGGACATTATATTGCATTAACTGGAGTGAATTAGAAATGAAAGAAGGTGATGAATTGAAGATGAGATTTGATGATCTCAGATGGATTTTAGATTCTTGGTTAGATTTGAGAAGGGGTGGTCCCTAGTAGTATTCACCAAGCGTTCATACCTTCTTAGGACAAATGATGGCTGGAATAGATAATAGATTATATGGATTAGGTTATATATTAGTGGTAGAGTCTATTAGGTTTTTATGTAGCTGTGGGTTGTGACAGCACAATTAATGTTGAATTTTGCCCTTATTACAGTGATTAAACCTAATTGATCTGCATGACAGGTACAGCCCAAATGGACAGCACTTTTCCTGGAGTAAAGAATTAATTTTCCGAGAATTTACAAATGCATCCATTAATTTAATTGCCAAAAATATGGCCCTTTAAGCAGCTTAGCATCTGGATCAATCTTTATTTCATCCCAAATGACATTAACAAAAAGAATAACGTGGGCACTTGAGGAAATTAATTGAGTGACGTGAATAATTAATTTATAATTGACCTGAATGATTGCATCTAATTGTTATGCTAGCTACAGGCATGGGTCAGGTCAACAGTTTAGTAACTTTCCAGGAGAGCTTTTGTGACACAAGTGGTAATTGAACCAATCACCATCATTTGCTTGTTATATTTCTTGGCTGTAGTGACTCAGTGACCTAAGGGACATTCATGACCTATACTCTGAGTTCTTCTTGATGGGTTACTTGAAATGTACATGTAAGTCATAGAGGAGGGCAATGAAATAAGGGGGATAAAAAGAAATATCTGTCTTTAAAAATCAGGTTTATCCAGCAAAGGACCTCAACTATTTATAATGCTGGAATAAACATCCTATGCTTATTACAGGACTTCACTGAAGGGCAGAGTTAAGGTTGTTTGGATGTTTTAACTATGAATTTCACCGTATCCTAGAAAATGAAGGTTGGAAGGGACCTCAGGAGGTCACACGTAATCCAACCCCCTGCTCAAAGCAGGACCAGCCTCGGCTAGATCATCCCAGCCAAGGTTGGATATCATCCAAGGATGGAGAGTCCACAGCCTCCCTCTTGGGATTCTTTTAGTGGAATTTTAACGCTGTGAAGATTGTGTTTTGTGATCTATGGTTTGGGATCATTAATGGGTGCATCTACACATGCACTTTAATGCACAGTACATTATTTTACTGTGCATTAAAGCATCACATAAAAACTGTGACATTCTGCCAATGCTCAGTAAAATGGTCTACTGTGCATTAAGCAGTTCTTTAAAAACTGTGCAAATGCAGTACTGCATGTTAGTACTGCCTAATGTGCATTAATTTAGTACCTCACATTGGAGGTACTAAAATTTAATGCGCATTAGAAAAGGCACATTAATGCATGTGTAAACATGCCCAATATGTCTAACACCTTCACTATTAAATTGCTCGTGCTACTCAACCCTTCCTCCCTTTTAAAGCTAAGTTTGTTCTTTATTTATTTGGTCTAGGAATGGATCGGGTGCTTTGGATTAGTTCTGAGATGAGATGAAGTGGATTTTAAATTACCTGGGAACAAATTTAGTCTCCAATATGGGTGAGAAGTTGGATCAGCATGTGCTGTTTCTAAATTGGCTGTTCTTTGTTCACACATTTTTATGGCCAGTCAGTGGGTGTGGAAGAAATTCAGTGCAATTTCCCTCCTCCCCCCACCCCCCCCACCCCTGCTTCTGCATTTTGGTAAGAGGTGTTTTTTATGGGGTTTTTTGCATGCAGAGATGGTGTGAAATCAGAAAGGATGAGCATCAGAGATGAGCTGGCTCTGTAACATAAAGCATCCATTTGGAAAGTAACTGAAGTAACTCTGTCAAAGGCAACAGGCCAGATGATGAGCTCAGTTCGACCAGTCTCAATCTGGGGTCATGCCTTTAGTGGTGAAAACAGCATTTATTTTAGGTTGTCTGCTGTGTGTGAAAAATCTGGCTCGCAGGGGGATTGTCATGGGTTTTATAGCCTCATCCTCCCCCACCCCCCTGTGTGGGTGTGTAAGAGCTGTCTTTATTCAAGTGAAGTGTACAGAACAATTATGTTCCTGTCTGCCACCAGATTGGTGAAAAAAATATCAGCCTCCACCCAGACCGCAGACATATGTCACCATCCAAAGCAAAGGCACATGTCGATAGAGGGGTTTTACTGGTACTGCTTAAGCAGAGATGTGTTTGTGTGTGTCCATATGCATGCGTTTTTCTATAAAAGAGAAGCAGAGAGCTGCATTGAAGAAACCCATGCAGAGAGAAGGGAAAGAGAGAGTGTGTTTCTTGGGCAGAGTACTGCCTGGAAGAGGCTTGGAATTCTTATTCCTTTCTTTGCTCCTGTGTTCTTTTCCTGCTGAGACTTGGTTTCACACCAGTTATATTGTTCCTGGTTTATACTGTGGAAATCAGCCCCCTTGCTCTTAGTTTACTGCAAATTCTAGGCTGGCATCAAAGGGGTATACATCAGCATGTCTTCACTGAAGGGGCTAGAATGACGTTTATGCTAGTGCCATGTTTAACCCACTGATATTCATTTCTTCCAGCCCCCAAGCCAAAATAAACTTGCCTCTCAGAAACGAAAGCAATCAAACACCCTTTAACACTAAATATCCAGCAGGATGTTAATTATTAAGGATGAGTTTGCCCTGCAGCAGCATGCAGGCTGGGCAAGGGCCTCCAATTACATGCACATGTGTTCCTGACTTTGCTTATATTGTGCCAGGTTCTCATTTGTGCCCAGGCTGGGTTATGCAGCCCAGAATGGTGTAAGGGGCCCTGAGCATACCTGAGAATCTGCTCCCTTATCCCTACAGTTGCCCTTAAAACAATTACCTGGTTAATTATTAGGTCTAAGATTTTAATCTATTTATCTTTTATCCTTCAGCTCTTTATTTATTCTTTTGTACGGCAAGTGGCACATTATGCAATCACTAAACTGGGGGTCCTTTAATGAGGTGGTACTCTAGAAGGGACTGTTATCCAAAGCAAACCTTGGCCCTGTTCATAAGTACAATGCTCTCTTGCAAAGGGGATTCAGTGCAGTCATAAATCGCATTTCCTTTCCATTTCGGATGCCTTTGTGCTGCTAGAGTGGTGCAAAGGGACCTTTTGCGTGAATGAGAATTGGACGGTCTCCATTTTTATAGCTTGCCTTCTCGGCTGTCAGGACAAATATTCCCAGGATGTAATTCTGGATGGTGCCATTAAAGTCAACGGAGCTCAACTCAGTGAAACCGGTTACTAATGTGGGCCAGGAATCTCACTGGCTGCCATGGGTCTCTCTGAGAAATCAAGCCCCTGGCTTGTATTCATGGCTCAGTTTGAACAGGGCAGGGGGTTAGAAATGGGTTGTTCCATATGGGGCCAGATCCTCACAAGTGCCAATGTCTGATGCTTGGAAGTCAGCGGAGCCGTATCGATTTATCCCAGCTGGGAGCCCACGGAAAGGAAGCTATTGCAGGGAGTGATTTGAAGTTTAGCCTGAGTTTAAGACTTGATGATTTGGCTGTGATTGGAGAGGCTGGGGGTGTCTCAGCTGTTTTATTGCTACACAGGATTTTGAGGAGGAGAATGTCTATTGTCAGCATTTTTGCCCAATAAAAACCCCACTGCAGGGGTTTAGGCACCAGTTCTTCTGCCCAGAGCCACCACGCAGAGCAGTGGCAAGCGTAACTGAGTGGCGTAAAGGGGCCTGATGGCAACGGAGGATTGGGCCCAGAGCCTTGTTTTTCACTGGGGAGGGGAGGTTGTTTTCTGCATGTCACAGCGAGGCCGGGATCACGGTGTCCTTCGCTGCCAGAGACAAACTGCTGCTTGTCTTGTGTCTCGTCCGAGCTTCGTCTCCTCCTCTGTCCCTTGAGATGCATCTTCGGGGCATGGGGGGAGGAGGGGAGAGAAGGCCTGACTGCGACCAGGCTCCAGAACACAGTCTCATTGTGTCTGCTTTTGTTTTCTCCGCATCTCCTTTGACAGGCAGAAGCTCACCCTCATCCCCAGCCGCGTGAGGAGGACAAGACCAGGGTACATCTGGACCGAGGGCCCGAATCACAGCCTGGGAAAGCCTTTCTACTGAGTGCAATGGCCTCAGGATCAGGCCTTAGGCAAAATGAGGCAGAGCAGAGAGGCTTGCTCTGCTTGGCCCTGCTCCCGGGGCTGGATTAAGGCCTGGCTCTTCAATGGGCCAGTGCCTGGAGACAGGTGGGTGAGCCTTGATGGACCATGAAGAGCCTCTCCCACTGCCCCATGCGCCATGAGTTGTGATCCTTGGCATTGGCAAGCCCTCCACTTACCTGAAGGGATCCCCCAGATCAATGCAGACCCTTGCACACAGCTTCAAGGGGCATTATCCCGTGAATGACCTATCTAATGCTGCAGGCAAAACCCAGGGAGACAGGTACTGCCAGACACTGCAACGACAGGCAAGCAAGTAGTTCCCAGATGCTCAGAAGATCCCAGGACAAGGACCCAGACCCAGGCTTCCAGACTGGGGACAGAGAGAAGCACTCGGACATGCCCAAGGTCC